TTTCATTATTGTCTCAGAATGTTTTATTTGGAATAGAAATTTTGAGAAGAATAATAAACCTGAGGTAATCTTTAATTAATCTTGAGTAGCTATTAGTAACTTATTTACTAGAAACTTCATTTAACATTAAGAGAGTTAAAAATAACCTTGATGACTTCCCTGTTCAGAGATTGTCAATAAAGCAAAGTGAAGCAAAATATGGAGGTTATTATCAAGATTATTCAGACATTATATTTCATTTTTATTATAAATGAATCTGAGTATAGCTATTTACTTTTAAATCTTTTATTATTTTTTTTGTGTGTGTGGAAACGACCTTAAATAGGCCAAACTTTATGGTTTCTGTTTTGAAAATTAAAAGAATTTTTAGCCACAAAACAATGGATTATGTTTAATTTTCATGTTGTCTATTTTGTTGGCTTTGTTATAATTTTTCAATTTTCAATTTCATTCCAAAGCTGTGGAAAAGTGCATATATGAGTACATTTTATTGAACTGAAACTTTTGAGTTGATGTCAAAAATGAAACATGGTTCTTAAAAGTCAGCTTAATTTTGGTGACTGAGGCACAAGTATTTAACTTCTAGATAGCCAAAATGATTATTAGATGTTTAAATATAATGCAATTTTTAGTATAAATAAACTTTTCAGAAATTGCAGTAATTATTATAGTGAAAGTAGAATATAATTTCAAAAGGGTTGGATAGTCAGAAAGGAGAAATAAGGAAAGGAGAAACAAAAAAAATAAGGAAAGGAAAAACAAAAGAAACAAAATGTTCTTATACCATGGTTTCACAAGTAAACTCAATGGAATATGATTCAAATGGAATTATGACATGTATTGACATAATAAACACTGCATACATATAGAAAAGCCATCATTTAATCTTATATACAGCATTGCACAAATAAAGCTTCTTAAATCAGTTAAACATTCCAGATTCTTCATGGAAATAAACTCTTGTTGTCAAAAACCCTGGATTAAGAAATGGAGCAAGATCTAGAAAGCCAATGTTTAGAAACAGCAGATTGCTATCTTGGACTATTTGGCATCTAAGCAAAACAGATGTAGAGTGTAAAATATAGTTGCTGCTAAGGTTTTGCTCGTGATATTTACTAAGATCATGGAGAATCATTTGTGAGACACAGAACAGTAGCAAAAATATAACCTATGAAGAAAAAAGTTAATAGTGGGTTTGTAGGAAAGGAAAAATTAATATACAAAACTATATTTTACAGAATTGTGAATCACCAATTAAGGAATCAATGGAGTTGGGTGGTGAGTGTTTGGAAAATTATCAAAATTTGGTAGACTAATGAAAGTATAGTTGATGGTAAAATAATTTCGTGATTCTATTAAATTGGATTCATTGGGACATGCCTTGGCCACTTCCCAACAACAACAACAAAACCAAAATAGTAGTAGAATAGAGGTAGTTTATGTTAAACATTAAGAAAATTGAGGTAATCCATTTAACGAAAAAATAAAATACTCATGAGATATCCTTAGGTAACCAGATTTAAAAATGGACTGTTCAAGTAGGAGAAAACTCTTGTTCTTCATTTATTAATTGCTTGCAGGATCCAGAGACATTGAGCCTGATGATACTAAAAATCACAAGGTTGCATTTTTCTTTTATCTTTTCAGGTTTGAAAGAATAAGTAAAAGTTTGATCTCAAAAAGATCTCTTTGATCTTTTTTAGAGAATGTATCTAAGGGAAGCAATTGAAGGAAAATGAGTCTAGGAAGTAGAGGTGGACTTTTGATAAGGATTCATATGCCTCATGTTTGTTCCCAAGAGTTACCATGGAAGAGTGTTTCCAAATCATCTCTCATCTTTTCTGAAATATTCTTTCTGCTTGAAATATTCTTATCAAAATATTCTTTTCTTGAAATATTCTTATCAAAACAGACTGTATTCAACTTTCTTTCGTTGGAACAGACTTCTTCCATCATCCCTTCTTTCTTTCTATATTTCTTCCTCACAATTATGTTCCAAATGCAGAAGATGAATAAATTAAGTTCTGGTAGGTATTTGTCTTCCTTTAGATGTATTTCCACTCAAGTAAGAATGGAAGCCAGGTTATCTGTTTAATCAGCATTTTAGTTTTATACGTTTTCCCCCCTCTTTGCTCATACTTATTTTATTAAGCATCTTTCCTGACTCTCTAAAAACTTAGGTCAATACTTATTACCCTGGCAATTGGGTTATAGCAGGTCATGATCTCTGCCAGTTTCAACAGGGAATTCCTCAGCAATAAAGATGTTTACCCTTTCTGCTTCCTCTGAGCCTGTGCAGATGCAGTAATTTGAATTTACTGATATATATATATATCAGTATATAATTTTTTAATTTTATTATATATAATATATATAATTTTTTAATTTTATTTTTTGTATGTGGCCCTGAGGATCAAACCCAGAACCTGGCACATGCAAGGCAAGCTCTATACCACTGAGCCATAACCCCAGCCTTACTAAATTTACTGAACCTTCTGCAACAGAAGTTTTGTCAGCAGCATTTTCACCACCAAACTTTAAATTTT